ATATCATATCATATCATATCATATCATATCATATCATATCATATCATGGACAAGACTAGACAAGGTCCAGAACAAGATGTGTTAAAGCAGGTTCCACCTTCCACAAATCTTTCTGCTGAGAAACACAGAGAGACAGTTTAATTTACTCCTTAGAACATAATGATTGTAGGAATATTTCAGTGAATTCCATGATCCCTTCAAATAACTTATTAAATGTTTGAGATATCAGGTGAGTATTACTAAAGAATGTCATAAAAATTTTAATTTGGCCAAGCTCACAGCTTATTGCCTCCCCTCCAATATCTAAGCTTCCCCCCTTCAACCATTTTCCCTCCAAATTTTATTTGCTCAAATTTCTAACAGTCACCAATAGCTGCTCAGATAGAGATAGGATATTTGAGCTCTGCCCCAGCTGTGCCTGGATTTTATTCCTTACTCTTAAACCAGTCTTGTGAATGCAGCCACAGTGCTGAGACTCGGGTGTGCCACATCCATTCATGTCTTCGCAAATACTATTTCACTGTAGATGTCCTGTACTCCTGGCTCTTGTATTTCTTTTACACTTTTCATAATGTGTCCTGAGCCTTGGTAGGAGAGGTAGTAGGACAGGGTGTGATACTCCTTTTAGAACTAAGCATTCTATATTCTCTGTGGGTTGACCAACTGTTAGTTGCTGCATAAATTCATTTAATGAATATAGAAGCTTCTTTGAAGAGGGTTGTGAAATGCACTAATTTAAGTTTAAAACAATAAGATTTTAGAGTACAACTTATTACTTCAGCATAATGAAGCATAAAGTTCTTTTTTAGCATCTGTGATCCAGCTGGGTACTGGTTTTGGGACCCAGCTAACAATGTGAGGTTTAAATTCTGTCTTGTGGAGTGGGCTTTAAGTTCAGTCAGTAAGTGGATGTATAATCTAACAACATTTGTAGTACAATGCTATAGTGGGTATAGTTTGTCAGGCCTGGAGATTTTAAATAGGACCCACTAGCACTATGGAAGTTAACCAGTAGGGACAAAACTTCCAGGTCAATGCTAGATTTATTTCCTCATCTTATGATTCAACTATATGGGGTCTTCAGGAACAGGATCTACAATCAATTTCTTAAGGCAATCCAAGAGGAATAGCAATGGTGTATAATGTTGGAAATGGTGTCTGTGAGACTTGATGGAAAACTTAAAAACTGGTAACCAATAGCTGCATTCTGCATTATGAAAGTCTATGGTGCCTGGGAAAGGCAGTATCCCCATTATAGGATAACTCCATTTAAACCACTTTTAAACACACGCACACACATGTGTGCGCATGCACACACACACACACAAACACCTTTAGAAATTTTCTATATGGTATTTGCCTAGATTTGAGAATGTTTTCCAAAATTGTTTGTTGAGTATACTTTATGGTTAAATATACTAAAAGATATGTAAGATTGTGTTGGTAATCATGGCGGATTGCCCCAAGAGAAAGTTTTCCACTCTAGGAAATGTATTTGTATTAATACTACAAAACTTGGGCAAGAAAAGCTGGAAATCCACGTCCCATCTTTGAGAAAAAAATTGAGTGGATGTCTGGCATTGCAAAATTGTTACTTTTATTTTTAGGTATGACAATACTACTAGGTTAAATTCTGTTAAATATTCTTTTATTATGCTAATTTTAACAAATAAAATTTCATCAAAATTTTAATAAAATCTGGACAAAATAGGATTATACAATGAATGGTCTACGTTGTTTTAAAAATCTCTTCTCCATCTCAGCAAAAAAATAAAGAGTAAAAATACAATAAAGAAGAAGAAAAAATATCTAGTATATCTTCCCGATACCTCTCAGAAAATACTTTAGACATAGAATGTGCCAATTTCTGAAAAGAACAATAAAAGTCTCCTCTGTGCCTCACTCATATCCCAATAGCCAGAGTAGAAGACAAACATGCAATAGGTTTAGTCTTCCTATAAAGTATTTTCTAAGCAGTTGCACACCTACACAGAACAGCATCCACTGTAATGTCCAGTTTCCCATCTGAAGGCTGACACTCCAGGCTGACATTTTGCCCCATGTTTTCTACTAGGCAGTCAGACTAGTGCAGGGGAAGCTTTCTGCGTGTCAGGATCCTGCGTTTACCATCCTCCTTTTAACGCATTTCCTTCTGCTTTTTCTTCACACTCAGTGGCATACAAACACACAATTTCGCAGCATCCTGCTTTTTCTCTTCTTCCAGGTTTTGTACCCTTCATGCCTTGGCTCAGCTCTCTCCCTCTCTCTTCACAAAGTCCTAATACCCCTTGAGTGACTGGCTCCTTCCCAGGCAGCAGGAGGTTGCAAAACCACTGCTGGAGCTGTTATTGCCTCTGCAGCTGGGTCTCTGTCAATATCAGCCACCCACGCTTAGCTTCTAGAGTCACAGACTGGCCTGGAGATGAGGGTAGGGGAGTGGCCAAGAGAAGGGAGGCAGGAAGGCAAAGGAAACAAAAACTGCTACAAGGCTTGCTGAGCATCTATCTGTAGGTGGTCTCTAGGTCTGTGACTGTGGAAATAGCCAGGTGGCTGAGTGTCTAGCGGGCAGCAGCAGTGGACAGCAAGCACAGTGCAGCAACCTCCTAAGCAGAGATCTGAGAAGTAAGACAAGCCCAGGAGAGCAAAGGGCTCTCATGAGCCTTGTTTCCGGGGTTCTTGCTGGAGTTTTAGTGAAAACTATTATTTGGCAGCAGGTAGGTGCATTTTTTTTCTTTTAGTAGCAGTCCCAGGATGGGGATAGCTCATGTCTGTGCCTTGCTTTTCAGTCCCCCTCCACCTGCCCCACCCCGAAATCTTTGGGAAATGTTTGAGGACTAGAAAAGAACAGTAATATCTAGATCTGAACTAACAGTTGCAAAGTGGGTGTTTGCTTTGCCTTCGTGGTTAGTTATATCACCCAGCCAGGTAAGCTGACACCAAGAAATGATGTTACTGTAAAATTTCTAGAACTCCGTAGGAAGTGACGGTCAGAATAGATGAAGCAGGAGGTTGTGTGCATTGGACTGTACTATTATAAAATCCAGACTCTATTTTGGGTAATTTTGTGCATTCAAGAGTGGAACTTTTGATGTGGCAATCTCAGTATTCAAGAAGACGAAGAATGCTATTGGAAATGGTGTGTTTATTTTGAACAGCTTGGAGTTTGACAGTATTTGATGCAGCAAGGTTTATGTTTTATTTGTTGTATTATGTTTTCTCTCAAGCATGTTCTTTCTAGATGTCTGCTTCCTTTTAGAATTGATGATGCTATTCTGGTTATGTTACGTCCAACAGTTACACAATTATTAGAGCAGTATTGTTGCCGGATCTTTGTAGACGTCTCAGCTGATGGACTTGTTCAATGTTCCATGTGGATTTTGGTCAGGAAAATCTTAAGTAAAAGGGTGGAAGTATTCTGGTGGGCATTTGGAGAGAATGTAAAGCACAATGGAATGGACCTGCTGTACAGTGTTCCGAATTCTGGCACCTTGCCTGCCATGACTAGCCCTTAGGTGCTATTATCAGCTACTACTTTTACAAGTAGTACAGACAAGACTCATGAGGAATAAAAGCCCCCTTCCTCTTCTGTGTGCTTCTTTGAACTAGAACCCAGTCGTAAAATTTGGAGAATTTAGAATTATAAAACTTAGCTTGCATTTGGTATAACAGTATGAATTATTCTTATTTAATGTCATCATAATTTGTTCTCCTGATTTTTAAAAATGATATATAACCAATTCCTGCTAAAGACTAATAGAAGCAATGCGAATTATTTTATAAAAGTAATCATTTTTGTAATGAGTAGTTTTTCTCTACTTCCCAGTGTGGCTCCCATTTGAAGTGTAGCATCTATATGGGAACAACGAGTCTTTAGACAAACTGTTCTAGAGTTATGAGAGTAAGAGAGAATCAGTTATGTCTCTCATCATGCATGTGCTTGAAAGAATATTGTAACCTGTAAGAGTTCATCCTTCCAAAAGATATGCCACTCATAGTGTAATACCCTTGGGTCTTCTATAAGTGTGACTTACCCTTTTTCTCTTTTCAATTTCAAATTTTGCTTTTCCTTACTTTCTGAGTTAAAAATATTAAGCATAGTAAGTAGACTGCTTGGAATTTATTTTATATAGTTATTAATATGGATACAGTCAAGTTTAGGCATTAAAAATCTTTAGTTGCAGTAATCCATTCAGTCTTACAGTTCAGCATAGGATATCCTAACCTCCTCTTTACTTGTAGATATGTTTAAAATAATATAATTAACTGAAATTGGTCATGAGGCTATGGTAGAGGGGTTGTCTAGCCTTGGATAATATGTTGGGGACATATCCACTCTAGGTGCTTATCACTCTAACCTGGAGGAGTGAAGTAAGAACCAGACACTTGAGAACTGGACATCCTGTCTCTTTTTTTCTCATGGAGTAAATAAATGGCCAAAGTAACTGATATGTACTATGATTGAATTTTCCCAACTGAGATGAAGCATGTCACATCAGATTAGAAATGTAGAGTCAATACCTTGACCGAGCCTTTCCTTGGATAAGAATTATGCTAATTCTTCCAAATCTAAACCTAGCTGGAATAAGCTCTGCATGGCAGAGCAGGACCTGGAGATTCACACACAATTCTCTACCCACTATTTAAACCTTGTCTTCAAAACTTATGGCAGAATCATTAGTTCACAAGAGATATTATTTTCAACATATATTTAATTTTTGAGATTACAATGTAATTACAACATTTTACCCCCTTTGCTTACTTCATTTTCACCTCATTACCCCCTTTTTCCCACCTCATTGTTTTCTCACAAATACATAGTCTTTATATCTCTAATTATTGTTACATTTCTGGGAGTCTGGTCTTTATTTTCACAAGCCAATATTAATGTAGATCAGTTTGGGACTATCTACGACTGTCAGCAAAGATGCTATCCTTCTTCCTATGAGATTAATTTGCAAACAGTTATTATTTCCCTTGCCTTAGTCTTCCTCTCTCCTGTATCTCCTTGGTGATAGATATAATATCAGCAAAGTAAAGTCTCACCTCCCAAACACTGAAAGATGGTCCCTTTGACTTTGAAGAGAATGCTTTCATAAGAAGCTTGTTATAGATATGCTGTGACCCAGTTAAGATTCTGATTTTCATATATTTACGTGGCTACTGCTTCTTTCCTTATAAACCAGGATCTATCTTGTTGTGCACTATCCTCCTATACCAAACAATCAGGTTTCCCTGTTGTTGGTGCAGCTTTTTGGACTCACCTCATTCTGCTGCTGATAGCGGAGAATAACTGGCTCTATAGAAGAGTCGGGTTATCAACTTCATTGGGTAGGTATCAAAGATCTTGACTGAAAAAAGAGCTGAACATAGGGTCTTGCTCATAAAAATTCAAACTCAAAATGTCTATAATTGGAATATTTGGTTTTAACTAGAATACTAGATGCTGATTCTTTGGGGAGCTTAATACTTGAACTAATAAACCGTGTCCAGTGGTATATTCTGTCCTTTGTACTTTAAAAACAGAGTGAAGCTTCAAGTTCAACAGACTCCTCACTGCCTGAATCAAAGATTATAAGTTGTCACTTTGGCTCTGATCTATAGATTTTATCTTCCCTGGACCATATAGCCCTAAGTTGTTCACGATTTTGCCCAGTGCAAAGTGAGATTAAATACTAATTCGCTGTCATTCAGTTCAGTTATTTTCAAAGTTTCTCTGTTGTTGCTCTCCAATTTGAAATTGGTGGGTAGCTATTGCATTTTGTTTTTCACATTTCAAAACCTAGAGTGGTTTGGGAGGACACTGGGATCCTAAAAAGTCAAGCAGACTCTGGTTATGAAAAGAAGTAAAGAGGCAGTCCCAAGAGGTCTTTGAGACTCCAGGAAATGTCCCAATCTGGATTTAAGAAGAACATTTCGTAGATCCGTTGGCATCTAGTACTGTTGTCCAAAGGGTCTTAGGGTTGCTGGGAAGCTACATTCATTATAGGATCCCTTTTTATTTCTCGAACAGAGACAAGAATGCATTCCTCTCCTTTGACATCTTAAATGGCCTCTGGCCAGCTGTTTCTGGTCAAAGGTTTAACAGACTAGGCTTGTAAGAATATTTAATTTTGAAAGCTTTTGGCTTCCTCCCAGTATGCTTGTTTTGTAGAGCAGACAAGCACAGCATGGTAGTTTTCACAATCTCAGTAGGAGACCTTCCTAGGAAACCATGAAATTGGCATAGAACTGTGAAATGGACATTGGTCACATGAACAGTTTTCATTCTTATGCCTGGAGTTTTCTCCTAATTACACTGTCTGGGTAGTTATGAAAGTTCACTGTGTTGAAATCCACCTTCCGCAAACTGGATACCTTGTATGTCCTTGCAGATATTCAAATTCATATTGACCATTTAAAAAAATAAAGATTAGTCTTTGACAATTTCAAAAAAGTATATAATGCATTCCAAGAATATTCCCCTCCTTTTACACTCTCTCATTGCTCTTCTTTCCCTGTCATTTCTCCCTCCTCAGTGCAGGTTTCCTTCCCATTGTCATGGCGTTTTGTTTCATTTACTTTTAGTTTTTATCTTATGCTGACTCACAAAACCAAACCAAGGCTCTGTCTATAAGGCATGTTGTAAGGCAATCCACTGGAGTATGGTGGATTCACTAATAGAATTTACCACTGGGTGGGAGAAAGAAGAGTTCCACTTTCCTAGCATCTATTACTACCCAATAGTTTCCCAGTTTCAATGATAGTTTCCTTTCCATGGAATTAACTTATAGAAAACATCTAATTTTCACTGTCTTGGTCCTCTTCTGTATCTCTTGGATGATACAATATCAGCTAAGAAAGATCTCACATCCCAACAGTGACGGTGGATCCTTTGAGGTTGAGAAGAGGTCTTCATACAATGAATGGGACAGCCATGACTGAATGTTGCCTACCCCTGTCCTGTGAATCCCAGTGCAGAAAAACATACCTCCTGAGTTCAAGATTTCAATGACCTTTCTATTAATTATTCTCAAGTGGCACAGACTGTATTTGTGGTGGCGTGGCCAAAGAAAAGTGTTCCCAAACTATGTGTTGCAAGTCCTTTGGCCAATGTCTATCTTCAAAAATATTTGCATAATGTTTCATAACAGTAACAAAATTACAGTTATGAAGACAAAAGGAAAATAATTTTATGGGTGGGATCACTACAATATAAGAAACTCTATGAAAGGGTCGGAGCATTAGGAAGGTTGAGAACCACTGATATAGTCATTATTTATTTACTTATTATTTGTACCTTGAACAGGTATTCTGCATTCATTGCCATTTAACTAAAAAACAAGCCACTTCTTTGATCAAGGATGGGAGCATCACCTATTTATAGTAACAAAAAAACATTTTGAAGATAGTTTTAAATCACGTTGACTTATACTCTGAGAGTAAATGATTTCTCCAGTAGCTATGGGCATTTCTAGTATTGGGTACGTATACCTCCTGTGAGACAAACTTCCAATCTAATCATAAAGGGGTGGTTATTCAATAGTAGTCCCCACTGCTGCACCAGTAGGCAGATCTTGCCTGTAAGGTCAACTTAATAGTGTTCAGTGTCTACCACTGGGAGATATACCTCATGACTTCTCTCTCCCAGCTGTATGTATAGCATCTTTTACAAATATGAAATCTACTTAGCAGTCAGGAAGCTTCCAGTTCATTTTGAGCTTATTTTCTCTGTATC